ACTGGTCTCAAAAAATGAAAAGAAGAAAGAAACACAAGAAAATCTTGGTGAATATATCTTTGCTTTGAATTTCAACTCCATTAAAAATCTTGAGGGCTGTGTGTAGTGGCTCATGCCTCTAATCCTAGCACTTTGGCAGGCTGAGGCAGGAGGATCGCTTAAGGCCAAGAGTTTGAGCAACATAGCAAGACCGTGTCTGTACCAAAAAATTAGAAAAAATTAGTTGAGAGTGGTGGCATGGGCCTATAGTCCCAGCTACTCGGGAGGCTGAGAAAGGAGGATCACTTGAGCCCAGGAGTTTGGGGTTCCAGTGAGCTATGATGATGCCACAGCACTCTAGCCCAGCCAACAGAGCAAGACTCTGTCTTAAACAGACAAAAAACTCGAGATCCAGTTTTAAATTGATAGAGCTAAACTATTTATATAGTCTTTTTCTCTTGAAAATCATCTCAAAACAAAGATGAAACGCAAATACATACTACCTTGGATGAAACTGAGACATCTGTAACCACGGTCACATATGTGGAAGTGGAAACTGAATGGAGAAATGGTAAATAACAGAATAACAGATCATCAAGCCCCATGTGCACAGAGAAGGAAACTGATGAGAAGCAAGCCAGTTCACTGCACAAAATCCTGTAAGGGTTTGGGAATCAGAGATTGAAATCGGAGAGATTATTTAAAAGTCTGTCTGAAATTAATACCTGTATTAAAAAAAAAAAAAAAAAAGAAAGTCTGCAGAAGAACCAGTTAGACTTCCAGGTGCCCAGCTCTATCCCGTGTATTCAGGTTACTCTTCCTCCTTTGCAATGTAAATAAAACAAAGCAGATAGGAGCCTCTCGATTCTATGATTTTGCAAAATGAAAACCTAGGAGGTAAACTTTCAAAGCCTGACTTCTCTCTAGTAGATAGTGAGAGGAATTTAACAATTTCTTTCTGTCACACATTTATTCAACACGTATTTATTGAGTGCCTGCTGCATGCTAGGAATTGTCCTTTGCCATGTCAAGGGGTTATGGACACACACGGTTCCATCCAATGCAGATATAGAACAGCATATATTGAGAAAACCTTTGTGAACAGAGGAGTAGCAGAGCACACGAGCTCTTCAGCTTTCACCATCCCACAGCTTAGGCAAGTGGGAGACAGATGTACGAACCTTGGCCAAGTGTGAGCAGAGACTCTACACTCATAATGGCATTCAGATTTATAGAGTGTGGGAGGGGAGCAGGGAACATTTACAGCACTAGGTAACAATGGGGGCTTCTTAGTCAAGGATGTTGCCTTGTTAAAAAGCGAGTCTTAGAATTTGGCAGTTTTTCTTTCATTGAGCTAAGCCAGGTCTGCCATGATAGCTGTCTGCCAAGCCTGTGAAAAGGGGCCACCTGAATCTGCCTCTTCTCAGTCCAGCCCCTGGAACTGGAGGGTCATTCAACATCATTTTCTACATTGTCTTTAATTGGCACTGAATTATGGTGGCTATCATGTTTTTGTTCACACGTGGGGTGTCAATAAAATCTTATACAGCTGGAACGTTGATCTCATGGAGGTAGAGAGTAGAATGATAGTTACCAGAGGCTGAGAAGGGTGTGTGGGTCAGGGTGGGGATGAAGAGAGCTTGGTTAATGGGAACAAACACACGGTCAGATAGAATGAAGAAGTTCTAACGTTGAATAGCAGAGTAGGGTGACTATGGTTAACAACGTTGTATTGTATATTTCACAGTAGCTAGAAGAGAGGACTTGAAGTGTTCCCAACACACAGAAATGATAAATACCCAATGTGACGGATACCCTGAATACCCTGACTATTACACAGTGTACGCATGTAACAAAACATCACATGTACCACATAAATATGTACAAATATTATGTATCAATTTAAAAAAATCTCATACAGCTAGGCGAAGCATGGAGCCACATCTCCAGTATTGTAAGAGAGTCATGGGAGGCTGCTTGTATCTATAATAAAAAAGAAAAGAGTTTTTTGCACTCCCCTTTAATCCCTACCTACCTCCACCTGTTTTCCCATCAATCAAGGCCCATCACCTCCCCTGCAAGATGAACTAGACTGTCCTTTCCCTGGATTGATGAGTTCCACAGGAATGTAGGGGTCATCATTTTACAGTCATGAGTGACTTCTGAAAAGCAAAGAGGGTAACTATAGAACCATCCAAGGCAGTCACTGTCCAAATTTATGTCTACTAAAGCGTCCTCAGTCAGAACAATATGAACTGTCCATCTACCTGCTGATATCAGACCAGGCATGAAAAAGATAAGAGAGGAATGCACCGTTCTTTTTCATATGAGTACCTTTCAAGCAAAGAGGGAGAAATGTACTAGCCTTCCTTAAAATTCTCTTCTTTACCACCCAATAATTCCTGAATACCAGAGTAGCTCAGCCAAGGAAGAGGGAGAGGATGGCTGTATACAACTTATAGTAACCGAAGACACCTGGAAGAGCCCAGCCTTACAGAGGCCTTCATCCAGAGTCTGGCATAATTGACAAATCATACAGCCTTGTGGTAACAATGACTTCTGCACGGATCAAAAGAATTTCTTGCTGGGCATTGCAGTCCCTTATAGTTG